TTTTTTTTAACACCACATCAACTCTCTCAATCAACCAAATTTTGGTTCAATTTTCCCCAATCTTGGCCGGTTATGGAAGGAGAAAAGGAGAAGTCAAAATTGCCATTAATTCCCCTTCAACCACTACCATCCCATCACCTTAACTTGTAGCCTTCTAACACACTCAACATATAACCAAAATTTTTGGATATAACTTCCTAAGGATGGCCGGCCAAGTGAAGAGAAAAAAGGAGAAAAAAAACTAATCATTAGTCCTATTCACCTCTCTCATCACATCTCATCAAATCACACACACTAACCTACACCTTGTACTTTTGTCCATTCCCTTAACTTACTCATTAAAACTGTCCAAAATCATACTGACAGTTATTTTCTCCTGTATACGGGTTCTGGATGCTAGGTTGTACTGTGCTGGGAGATTCTTAAAATTAAGATTCTCTAACTGTATCTGTACTGGAAATTCTTCCGTTTTAAAGTACGGTGAGAATTTATCGATCGAATTTACTTGATCGGAAAAATGTGAACTTAACGTGAAATCTGCTACAGAATTTAGGAATGCAGATGTTAATTCCCTAAATCCTTCAATCACAAAATGTACATAGTATAATGATTTTCCAGGAAAATCCTTGACTTGAATACATGAATTATATTATTAAAATTATGGGATTTTTCTTGGTCACTACATCTAAAATGCTGATTTTTTTTTTTTTTTTCTAGAAATGGGATCTTGGTTTTTATTTATCGTTCTTTGAATTTTTCATAAATTAATAATTTTTTTACTGATACGTAAATTAATAAGTTGCTTCTTAAACTTTTCACACGATGTGTATTAGAACGTTTTCATCCAAAGTTTAACACAACACCATTGATTATGCATGCTGCATTAAATATAGAGTAAACTTATCAAATAAAAAGTTTAATAAGTAACTTATCCTTTCGTAGAAAGTTCACATGTAAAACCTTCGTATCCTTAAAAAAAAGAAAGAAAGAAAAAATGTTAGTTATTACTTTTCTTAAATTAGAGATTGATATGTAAAACATATCATAATTAATGAGTTTTAAAATTGACATTCTCGGTGTTGATGAAGATTACAATAATAATGATGATTAATTTATTCTTTTTAGAGCAAATAAAGAAGCGGTTTTTGGTATGAATTAAATACGTCATTTTTCAAATCAGGTCCCTTATGAAATTTGTGTCACGAACTGTTAATTTAATAGTGCCTCTTTAATTACTATTGATTAAGTTCACTAAGTAATTTACTAAAAGAAAATAAAAATTTGGAGTATATAATGTAAAAAATGAAAAACTTAACGTGCAACAATGTAATTTACTCATTTTAATTTGTTAATGTATACTGTAAGAGAAACTCCAACCATGATTTAGTTAAAATTTAACTTTTATCTACTCAAATTATTAGCTAAATGATTGATTAGCTATTTTAGATAATCTACTTCACACTAGTTAAATATAACTAGTAAAAGGTGACTCTTTATTTAATTTTTTGTATTATTTTATTGTTTTATACTCAATAAATGTAAATGTTCTTTTTTAAATTAAATAAAGCTATTTATATTTAAATTAAATAAATATTAAAATAATTTATATTTAGGTGAAATAGAGAGTATGATTAGAGCAAGTCACTAAAAATTATTATATTTAGATGAAATAGAGAGTATGATTAGAGTGACTCACTAAAAATTATTAGTTAAAATAATTTTTTAATTATTTTAATTAAAATTTAACTAAAAATAGAGAGTTATCTAAAATAATTTATATTTAATTAAAATAGAGAATGTGATTAAGATGACTCACTAAAAAAATTATTAATTATTTTAATTTTTTAATTATTTTAATTAAAATTTAACTAAAAAATAGAGAGATATCTATGGAATTAGGGACAGAAAAGCCAGCAGACAAAAACACACACTTCTTATCTCCAAGACCCAACTATTGTATTGATCCCATTGTATATATATGGATAGATAGCATAACAGAAGAACAGCCTTTATTCTTCACTTCCTCTTCTTCTTCTTCTTCTTCTGCTTTCTCACTCTTTCAACAATGGCTTCCACATGTACGGCCACAACGCCTTCATCTCTGATGATATCCTATTCCGCGTCAGCCTCCTCCTCATCTTCCGTACACCCACAGGACATGGTCATTTCCTTCAAGCCCAACCCACTCTCTACTCGAGCTTTCTCTCTCTGCCCTCTTGTTCTCCGTCGGAGAGACAAATGGGTCGATGGGTTTCTGCCCAGACAGGATTCCCGACACCGCCACGTGGCGGCGGCTGTGGCGGCGGCCGAGGTTGACGTGGCAGAGGTCGCCGTGGAGGAGGAGGATGAGGAGAAGGTGGAAGGAGGAGTGGAAGGTTCTGGAGGGTCTTCGGCAACTGTGACTGTTCCTAAGCCGAAGAAAGGGAAAGCTGCTTTGACTCTCAAGAGAGATAGAGTATGTGAATCAAAGTTTGGATTTTGACTGCTCTTTTAAGAATAAAAGTTGGTGAATTTTGAATTGTTTTTTTGAGCGAATTTTGGGTTTTTGATTTGTGGGTTTTGCTTCGTTTTTTAGGTTTTTGTTACAGCTGTGGGGTTTCAGTATCAGAAATTATTGCCTATTTTACTTGACAGAGTATGCCTAAAAATTTTTGCTTTTATTGTTCTTTTTCGTTACATAATGTGTTTGGATTCATTTTAGTGAAAAATTTAGTCTTTTCTGTGGGGTATTTCTTGTATTGGGCTTATCAAACTAGAATGGTAGTCTCAGAAAGTTCTCTTGATGCTACAGAAATGATATAACTAATTGTTATGCTTCTTCAAGTGTTTGGAGAGTATGGAAAAAAGCGAAAATTTTGCTTTTTGGTGTATAGTTTTGGTGCATAATTTGTCACCATGAATGAAGCCATTTAGAAGCTTTAGCGGTTGAAGGAAATGCGTTTCCTGTTTGGTTGGTTTCAAAGACTTGATTTTGTTGTCCGTTACTTTGTCAAGCTCATTAATGACACTCTTTTGGAGAGTGGTAGTATGAAGGATCAAGCACTCAATTGTGTTACGTTTTTAATCTGCCAGACGAGGTCTAAAAGATTCTTGGAAATCCAAAAGCTGAGGGAAATTAAACAAGAGTATGACGTGAAGACCACGATTTCTTTGATGAAGCAAATGGCGAGTAGCAAATTTGTGGAAACAGCCGAAGCCCATTTCCGCCTCAACATCGACCCTAAATACAATGACCAACAGCTGAGGGCAACTGTGAGTTAATGATCCTTTCTTGGGGTTGAAAAATGCGTTCTATAGTCTCATTTAGCGTGTGTTTGGGCACTCTATGATTTTCTCATGTGTTCCGAAATCTTTTTCTTTAATAGGTAAATCTTCCGAAGGGAACTGGACAGACTGTTAAAGTTGCTGTTCTTACTCAAGGTTATTGCTTTTCTCTATGTTGACATATATATCATCATCTTCTTTATGCTTATTATTCATTTTCAATTTTCTGATTTTCTAATTGATGAGAACACGATTTTATTCGGAGCGAGTATGATGAGCAAATGAAATATCCGATCTCACCCTTGCATCATCTTGAAAGGAATCAAGTTTCTAACTTGCAGACTTTCATAGAAAAACTGGAAGATGTATATTTATTTGTTCGGATCCTCATTGGATTAATAGGCAGTTCAATTTGTTATTTATTTATTTATTCTTTCCCTTGCCCTTTATTTTCATGTTGATGCCCCAAACCTAGAACAAGGAAAATCCATACTGAATGGTTTCTAGTCTCCTTGTGCTTTTACATTGGCTTGAGAGGGACAACATAAAGGAAAATTTTAGGACTCAAGGTAGCATATCTTTCTGGGATGAGAGTATTTTTTCTTATTTTTTAATAAACATTATATATCAAGAATCATATGCATGGCCACAAAGACGAATAAACATTATATATCAAGAATCATATGCATGGCAACAAAGACGAAGCCCTCGCAATTTCCCTTGGTTTTGTTTTCATATATGGAATTTATTTAATGAACACAAGAAGGCTAATAGCTGCAACCTAAAGACGTGTGTATTGGGATGACAACTTTTCTGACTTTTTATGATGGGACAAAAAAGGAGGGCACTTACTGCATCTTGACTGAATTTTCGGTTTTTGCTCGCGATATACTGCATTGTCATTGTGTTTTACCAAATCTCATTCACCAACTCATATGCCATTTTTAATAATTTTTATCACCTTCTTGGTTTAGCTGAAATTTCCTCATCGAGGATATGCAATTGACACTTTCGATTTTGGGGATCTGGGCATCCAAGAGTCGATTTTTCCCATTTTCTGCATGATATGGTTTATAAGAGATTGGGCAATGCTAGGTGTGCTAGTAATCTAGGTAATTTCGCAAAAACTGCATTTTTCTGGGGTGCACGCTTGTTGCGCTATAGTTAATCTGCTACAAAGTTAGCTCTTTTTACATTTAAGTTTGCCAAAGCACCTTCCTTTTTTTGTTGAAAAAGCCTTTTCCCCGTTGCTTGTCTGAGAGCCAAGAATATTTGGAGGTAACAAGCTGCAATCCATCAGGAAGGAAGAAATTTCATCTTCTGCTAACTTCTAGGAAATTTTGTGGCAAGTTAAATTTGCTTTTGGAGAAGCTCCTTTTGTTTCTTTCTTCTTAATTTTCTCTGTTTTTTCCTATTACCGCTGGTTAAGGAAGTTAAGTTTACCATATATGTTATTCGGAACCTTGTATTGCTCTCAATATTTGTTATGTATAATGCCGACCAAAAGTGTGTTCCACATGCTTGTATTGATCCAAGATTTATGTCTGAAGGTGAAAAATTCGAAGAAGCAAAGAATGCAGGAGCGGATTTGGTTGGTGGAGAAGATTTGATAGAGCAGATTAAAGGAGGATTTATGGAATTTGACAAGTTGATTGCTTCTCCAGATATGATGCCCAAGGTGTTGCTTTGATTATCTTATTGTAATTGGGATGTGTGAATTGCTAATCTTCAACATCTGATGGATGGAAATTAATATTCAGTTGACGATAAGAAATGTTAATGATTTACATTACGTGTCATGATTGTCTCAGGTGGCTAGCCTAGGAAAAATTCTGGGACCACGAGGGCTCATGCCGAATCCAAAAGCTGGTACAGTGACCCCTAACATTCCTCAGGTACGATCTGAAGGATCCTTTAGAAACACTTTCATGGCCCGGACTTCTTTAACACATATTTCAGTTCTCAAAGCAAGAAAGTGGAATTGTCGAGGAAGGAAAAAATTGAAAAAAGCTTCAAATCTGCATTAGTTAATGACACCAATTCATGTTCACGTGTCTCTACAACATGAATAAAGAGATATGGAGCAGTTGAAACAAACCAAGTTGACTGACACAGACAATACGCAAAATGGTTTTTTCATGGTTGGCTGGCAGCATTATAATAAGCTATAGGGATTTCTTTACTAGAACTAGTATTAGTTTTAACTAAAATGATTTGGGTTTGCTTTTTTCAGGCTATAGCAGAATTCAAGAAGGGAAAGGTTGAATACAGAGCGGATAAAACAGGAATTGTTCACTTGCCCTTTGGAAAAATCGACTTTCCCGAAGAAGATCTTATTGTAAACTTGATAGCAGCTATAGTATGTTCTTTCCCACTGCTTCTCGTATTTACCCTCTGTAATATTGTCCATTTTCCTCAAAATTTTTTTTTTAACTTGTTAATGCCTTAAATATGACAGAAATCAATAGAAGCAAACAAGCCATCAGGGGCAAAAGGGGTTTACTGGAAAAGTGCACACGTCTGCTCATCCATGGGGCCTTCAATTAGGCTAAACATAAGGGAGATGCTTGACTTCAAGCTTCCATCAGATGTTTGAAGAATACTACAACATGTAAATGTCATCTTCAAATTGTTTATTCCGCCCCACGGTTTGCGGGCGCCACATCATGGGAATATTTAGAAAAACATGGTAGAAGAGTAACTAGGATGACAGGAGAAAGGAAGACCTTGACATTGTATCTTGGTTCAAGACTATTTATAGAAAAAGTGTCTTCTACTACAGAATGAGAAAGACCCTGTATAACTTTTTGTTTATCAAATGTCATCAATCTTATATTACTCTTATTATTTATTTGCCAGTGCAGTAGTAGGATCATCTGTTATAGGCTTGTTAAAGTTGTGATGGAATTTCAGAGATTTTAAGCTTCGAGTGAATCCCGCACTTGGCATTTTTGTAACGGCCGAATTTTGAGATGGTTTTGGGACTTGGCAAGCTGATATGGATTTTGACTTCTTTGCACAAACACCCCCTTCAACTTTACACGTTTGATAAATCAGTCTGTCAATTTTCAATCTTAGTAATTTATTCTTTAAATTTTAAAATTTATTGCAATTTATTCTCTAAATTTTAAAATTTATTGCAATGTTAATTAAATTAAAAATAATTTTAAAATTTTAGACGGTTTTTTTCACATAAACATTTAGCGAGGTTAATTTTGATCTTTTTTTTATCAAATTGATCTCCACGTGCATATTGAGTGAAAAAAATTTTAGGGGAAAAAAAATTGGATTTTCCCACATCATGAGTGCGGCAGTCAGCATAATTCTCAACGACAAAACCCGGCAGATGAGAGTCCTAGACTGCTCCAAAAAGAAATGGCAGCCACCCTAATCAATAATGTAATCTTCACAAAAAGGTTAATATACACATTTTTTCCTTGAAAATCAAAAGGAGAATATTTGATCTAAGCAAATACTTTGTACAAAACATTAAAGTTAGGATAAAATAACGTCCACTCGCACACCACAGAATCTGTACTGGATAATTTTCCTGTTTGTTTACATTTTTACGAAGTTGTTGTACACATCATGATCTTGTTTCTCCTACTAAGCCTGCCACACTTCTCCAGCAATCTCCTCCACTCCAAACTGAATTCACAGAAAAGTTGAGATCTAGTGAGTAGTTGATAAGCACATTATTATATGACTATAAGATGATTTAACAATTTTGCTATAAATCATTTTACCTTTAGAAGGCTGACCAATCCAAGGACCATTCACTATATTCAAAATGCTGCACGCCTCACTGTATTCGAGATCCGGAAGCAACTTTGGAGTAAGTAGGAAACACCTGTAAATCAACACAGAAACCAAACTCAAAGTCAACTTTTTTCAATCTTTTTGAGGCAAGTAAATGATAAAAGTTATTTTTTGATCAACAGCAATAAATGGAGAAAATTTCCTTGCAGCTTGATGAATAAATAAGTGGAAACAATGATAAATACAGGAAAAAGCTATTCCTGTTTATCTTAACAATTTGTTTGGCTAACATTATATGACAAAACTCGTAATCCACCTAAATTTCTATTTCGTGTGAAACAAATGAGATCTCATCCTTGTTCTTTTAGGCAAACTTGTAATGTGTCACAAGATATAATTGTGTGCTTATGATTTGCAAAGTCTTATACTGCACTTGACACATTTATATTCCGTCCTCATGCAGAGTTTAAAATATTTAGAGAATAAAAAAAGGCGCTTATTGTCGGACATCCTGGAATAATCAAAAGGGCTATTGGTTCTTACTGTGGTGTATTTGGCTGGCTTGCAGCCCTAACTAATTGCTGGAACATCTTTCTCTCGTTTATAGGATCCATCCCTGATAAAAATAAAGGACAAACAGTCATCCTCTGTACCATGCGGTTTAATAGATTCAAAGTTGGACAATACTCCATGCTTAAACTAACCTTGATTTATCTCATCAACCACTCTAAAAGGGCAATGCGTAAGGTCTTGAAGAGATACAAGATAAAGGATAGTTGAAACGGAACGCTCCTACAAGGAAATTCAAGTTACAGTGAGAACAAACTGTCAACAGGAAAATCATGAACCCCAAAACTTAGTCAAAGAAATACCCCTCCGGATTGATGGTGAGCGCTAAGAACTTGAAGCTCTCCTTCTTCTCTGTTAGTTGTAAATAAAACCACATGAATTTGTGAACTAAAGGAATGTACAAGCAGAAGTTGAAGTGCATAATAAAGGAGGAAGAACTTTAAAGGACAAGAATATTAGGAACAACAAATAACAATTAAATGAGAAAGGAAACTGTAGATTATCATGAAATAAACCTTCACATGATATACACAACAGCAGACATATGGTAAACAGCAAAAAAAGCATGCATATAATGAATCCCATGAACATGCGTATATTTTACCAAACTGCAGCTACCTGAACTTTACTTTTATCAGTATACCAAACTGATTAAAATCCAACTCATGCTCATCTGAGGATAAAAATTAACAAAAAGGGTAAGTGGAGAACAAAAATGGCAAGTAAAGAAAAAAAAAAATCCCCCAAGAAAATATCTACAAAGATTTAAAATGAGGACCTAAAGAAACTTCTCCGGCAACAGCCATCTCTTGGAAGTTACGACTGAAGGTGTCATTTATCTTAGCAACAAGTCTTCTCAATGTCACAAGCCAACTTTCCTGCAAGTGATTTAGCATCACACAATTTTTAGAAAACCTATATTAAGTTGGCAGATCATGGAAATGCATTTGAAATCAGCATATGCTTGCACAAGCTACATCCTAAAAAGTCCCAAAACTGTCATTTACTAGGTCTACCATCATACATATGTTGATCATCCTATTATTGGCTAGGATTTTGCAGAGAAAATTATTGAGTCAATGTTTCCAGAAAATATAAGTCATCCAAATATTTAAGGCAACCATGAAATCCTTGGTTCCAAACTTCCGATAAAGACAGACTTGAAATGAACCCAATGCCGAACGTCGAACAATTGTTAATACTCAGAAGACCAAGAGATCAGATATCAAATGTGTATTATTAGATTATAAGGGACAGCACCTGCAGCTTCACCAAGCACTAGTTAAAGAAGCAACTAAACTTCACTTGCCTTCAGTTCATCTATTTCAGCTTTATGCCTCCTTAGCTTCTCTCTGTCTGCTTCCAGTTTTGTTGAAATGGCTTCAATCTGTCAATTCATTGAAATTGTGAAGAAAACATAAATATTTCATCCACAAGTAAAACATTTGAATAGTGGCCAAATATTACCTGGCGCAGGCGGTATTCGTATTCTTCTATTACATTGCGATTCAAACAAAGAATAGAATCAGCTTGAGATCTACAATCTTGAATAGCAGCCTCCAATTCTTCAATAGTACTTGGCATCTAAAGGTAAACATAAAGAATACAGTTTTATTGTACATTTGAATTTTATGTGAAGCGAAAGGAAATGACAGAATACACTAATATTTAAAATAAAAAATAAAGGGAAAAGGAGGACAAATAAAAGTGAAAAAATTACACGAGTATGATGCTTCATGTTCAAGTCACAATACAAACATACCTCAAGAAATTCCTTTTCAAGTTCTGGAGTAATTACAGCAATTGATTCTGCAAGCCTCTTGGCATTTTGAAGTTGCTCCCGATAATTTTGAACCACATTCTTGCCTAGAGAAGGAGAAATAAAGTAACAACTTAGCACTGTGTAGCCAATATCTACCATGTAACAAATACGATTCAGCCAACCAACATGAAGCAAGATTGCATTTCATTGCCGTTAATTGTCAAACACACTTCACCTTCTAGCACCAAGATCACCAGCAACAAGGACTTTTATTCAATCAAATTGATTTAAAAGTTATAACCGCACAAAAGAATCATAGCTTGGATTACTTTTACAACATATGGATCATCTCAGCGCAAACAAAAAGCTATAATCAAATTATGAAAATCTTGAGGTAAAAAATTGAAACTGCCATTCAAAAACTACTCACAGTTCTCAAAATGCATTGTTGCTTGAAGAGCAGATTTTTCATGTTCCTTTAGTCGGAGCTCCAATTCTCTAATCTAAGAATGTATTAAGCCAGTAAATATGAGGAACATCAATAAGAAACTGAGAACATAAATAAGAAGGAATCAACCATTCCACATTAATTTCATGAATAAGAAACCTTATGACGAAAGTGTAAAACTGCCAACATAAGAAGAAACAGTATACTCGAATCCAGCAAAAGGCAACTAGTGATTGGACTTGAACATTCGACCAAGATGGTTCTTCAAATAGACCATCACCTATGAGGGTTTGAAAAGAAATAACAGATAAAGGCGGGCATAAGAAAATGCAGTTTACAGACTAGCTAGTCCTGTTGAACTTTGAAAATTGGTCAATGTAAATAAGAGGTGGCAGTAGTATGGTGGCTATTAGGAAAGTAGATGATGGAAACTATTTAGAAAAGAGAAACTTGCATTTCTTAACATATGAAAACCATTTAAGATCCTCAGGAAAATGGCCTAAAAGATTCATAAACAAAGGGTGCAGAGGGTGAGCCGGTAATAACTAACAAGCATGTTTCCATCAGCAAGATTAATAAGCGTAAATACCTTTGCTTCAAATTCAAACGAGGCCATTTGTCTTTCAGCAAGATTCTGTTTTAGTAAAACAGCCTCAACAAGTAGTTTCTGTAAAAAGTAATGAAGCAATTTCACTTTTTTATACATACTTCAAAAGAAATGAGTTACATGTTTACTACATAATCTTCAAAACACACGAACAGAATTTCCATCAAGTAAATTATCCAAAACCTGGCCCCAAAAGAAACTCCACCTTAAATTCCATTGAGCAGTGGAAGCGCTGAATGTTAAATTCTTCAGCTTGGTCAATCAGCTTTGCCAAAGTAGTATCCAGGTCATCCTCCTTCTCCAGTGCTTCTAATTTCCTTTTCATTTGATCTAAGACACGAACATATGTGTTTTGATTTTGTTTACAATTAACAAATTCATTGTACTTAAAAAGATAGCAAATCATCAAACAATTTCTACTTACTAATACGGTTTTCCTTTTCACGCCGCTTATGCTTCTCACGCCGTGAAACTTCAGTGATCTCCTCCTACAAGAAATACCCTGAATAGGTTAGTCTGCACTCGTGGAATTGTACGTCCAAGTTCAACTAACCTCATTACTAAATGTACGCATGCGTGGGTACATAAAGCAAAAAGAGATAAGAAAAGGTCCAACAACCCAGTCTCTCCACCCCTAATAAGGATACCTGTTGTTTTCGAAGTTCAGCTGATTTATCCTCTATGTGTCTTTGCTCAATCTGAAGCGATTTAACATTTTCCTCTAGAGAACTAATAGATTGTTCTAGATCCGCTATCCTGGATCTGAGCCTCTCTATTTCACCAACATCAGAACCTGCAACACAGCATCAAAGGTGAAATAAAATAATTCATGGATCAGACCACGATTTATTAAAGGGTTTGCAGAAACATACCAGATAACAGAAGTCGGGACTGTTTCACCACTTCTACTGATCCAGAAACATGACCCCCGTATCTAGATTTAGACCATCGATAATGATTCTCTGGTGTCCAACAATCAAAGATTCCCAACTTTAAGACCTGATCGGCCTTGAGATCAGTTTCCTTTGACCCGATATACTGAGAAGGGTAGAACCAATAAACAAAAATATATGAGGTACAAACAAATACAAAGAAAATGAAGCAAAATATAGAAAAATGAAAAACAAAACAACTTAGATAAAGAAAGGAAGTTATCATGACAAACCAAACTTTCAAGTGCCAGCTATACGGCTTAACTCTACAACTAACTGCCCAATTGTTCAATCGAAAAATCATTTTCTTGTCTTTATGCCAATCTATGCAATAAATCGATCAAAATCATGGAAAAAGCGTGCAACCATACCGATCTTTCCAAACCGCATTGGCCAGTCAAAACCTCCTTGACAGCAAAAGAAGCATCAAAAACTTGATCAAGCCGTGAAGAAATCCCAAGTTCTCTCATCTGGTAAATACAATGATCCAAAAAAGAAGAGCAAAGAAAAACTCAGAACTGTTCAAACGTACACAGAAAAGCCCAAAGGTCTAAGGAGATATACCTGCTGAGAAATTTGATATGGCGCTCTATAAGAGTCTTCACTTCCAAAGTAATTCAATACTGGAACGTCAAAATTCAACGCTTTGAAATTTCTGACTAAAAGATCCCTATCACGAGGATCTTGAGTTATGAAAGACTACAAAACAACGATGTATGATTAGCATAAGAGATTATAGGGTACATCTAAAAAGAAACCTGGATTTTAATGTAAAATTGAAGAAAAGAGAAGCAGGAGTGTAAGTTCTAACAAAAACAGTGATAACATAAATTACCTTCCAGATGTAATAAGGGACGTGACCTTCTAAATAGTTTGCGTGAAGCCTGTCTGTTACATTAACCTGACATTTAACCCAGAAGTTCATAAAGTTGTTTATGCAAATAACAATAACAAATAAACAAGAGAATCTGGGTTTCAAGTGTGTACCTCTAGCAACACAGGGCCATATACCTCCTTATTAAACCTAAAATTGAAGAAAAGAGAAGCAGGAGTGTAAGTTCTAACAAAAACAGTGATAACATAAATTACCTTCCAGATGTAATAAGGGACGTGACCTTCTAAATAGTTTGCGTGAAGCCTGTCTGTTACATTAACCTGACATTTCACCCAGAAGTTCATAAAGTTGTTTATGCAAAAAACAATAACAAATAAACAAGAGAATCTGGGTTTCAAGTGTGTACCTCTAGCAACACAGGGCCATATACCTCCTTATTAAACTCGTCGCGATGTGCTTGCACCCAGTTATAAGCTTCAAATATTCTCGTAGCTCCAGAACTTTTAAGTGCTTGCAAAAGTTTAGTATTTCTACTCTCCATGTCCCTCAACCTGCAAAGGGTGCAACAAATAAACAAGAAGAAATATGATTTAAGGGCGTATGACAACAGTTGACCTTTAACTTAACCTGTCCGTGCACTGTCTTAGTGCCACCTTTTTCTGCACTAAGTCATTTTCCTTCTCTGATTTTAGATCCCTATTTCGACGGACAGAAACTTCTTGCTCCAGAATTTCATTACGTAATCTTTCCTGGTAAGAAAAAGTTAATTAGCAGAAGTAAAGGTGTCGATTCAATAGTCAGTTAAAGTTGTTAATTAATAGAAAGATAAACATAGAATAAAACAAATTGAAGCAGTATCAAACAATTATGCAGAGATAATTACGCTGTTTTGCCTGGACATATGTTATATCAGATGTAAAATGTTGAATAGCATTATTTATGCACAAAAAGCAATGTCGATTATACATGAAATACTAGGACTGAACACTTTTTCATGAAAGAAAACACATGGCGCTTGATATTTATTGAACGTGGTTCATGAAAAGCACCACTTCCATCTTTTGATAAATTATGATATTTTGTCCGTTTGTACACGACTTACCATTTCACTCTTAGGAGGTTCATAGGGAGGCAGATTTTCAAGATCTAGAACAGCAGCAGCAAGATCTTCTTTGGCTTTTGAGATTCTTATTTTCCGAGATTCTTCTTGTCTGTTCAAGTCTTCCATTTCTTTGTATTTTCCTTGAACTAACACCCCCTACAAATATGTAGAGGAAAATTAGAGGACAAACATTCTCTGCAGGTCCTTGCATTAAAATTAAAAAGAAACCTAAAAGCACGAGGAAAAAACAACAATCAAGCATACCAAATGTTCTGCCTTCTCCATAACGTCAGTACGTTTACGGGCATTGTCATTAATGCGCTTCTGTACTTCTTTAACTTTGGCATCCAGTTTAGCTTTCTCTTGCTTTTGTCGCCTGCAAATAGTAGGTGAACAATAAGACCAACACCTGATTAATAACAACTTCACTGCAAAAACAAGAAGCAGCAAACATACATGCCATTTGAGAAATTTGAAAGAATAATAACCACAATTACAACAGAAAAGTACTAGCATGGCGAGATAAAAGAAGTGCAAAATGATTATCCATCTGTTATGATGTCAACAAATTTCAACAAAGGTTAAACCCTGATGCAGCATCAGAGAACGCATGGTCACATGCATCTTATGAAGACCATAATGAGAATCCTTCATATAAGTTGTACATAGCTTCAATTGCTATCTCTGTGTGTCAATAACCAAGCAGTAGACTAACAACAGCTATGACTGATTTTCAAATACGAAGACAAAAACTGTAGACCAGGACCAACTATGACTGATTTTCAAATACAAATAGAGTATGTGTTTAAGATCAATACATGATTAAAGAACTGAAGAAGTAACTTAAGATAGTTTTTTTATCTGGTATGTATTTTTTTTTAAGGAGAAAACACACACACACAGAGTTAAAGCAATCGACTGTACCCAATCGGTTCTTTAAGATCATTAAGTATTTGTGCAGCTTCGTCGAACTTGCTCTTTGCATCTTTCTCCTTCTCCTTGGCTTCCATGTATTCGGCCTTTTTCATGTCATACTTTAGCCATGGCAATTTCTTTTCCATGGTCTTAGCCTATAAATAACAGCAATCAAGCATCTTGAGTATAATCAAAGATAGAAATAATGTCAATAAGAAATAAATACCCTACAGACAAACCTTTTCTCCAAGTTCTTCTCTTTGACGAACTCGCTCAACCTCTCTCTGTTGTACGGCAATATGTGCCTTATGCTGATCCAAAGTTTTTTCATTTGTCTCTACAGCCTACAAGAAAAAACACAATGTGTCAACATAAATAAAGTTTCAAAAACCATTTGGACCATATTCCGAGAAGAAATTGAATCAGAAAATTACCCGCTCTAAATTTTTCAGTTCTTTGCTAATTTCAACAAGGGCACGATGACTTATTGAAAGTTGCGGATCACCAACAGCCTTTTCAGTCTCTTCTAAAAGTTGCACAGGAGTTAATTTCGCAAATTCACAGACCCTGTCTTGTGGCAGAAACTAACCCCAGCCCCCCGAAGGGGAAAAAAAAGGAATAAGAAAAGAATATAGCCAGAATTAATTTCAAATACAGTCTGATATAGCTGTAACATATTATCTGTAACAGATTTAATCGAGGTATTAATAGTGTGAATGAAATTCCAATGTGCGAAGCTAGGAGGACAAAAAATGTAATAACATGATTAGAATATTGCATATAGAGTATAGGAAAATATCATGGGTAAAAGATAGAAGCAAGACAAGTTGCAACACAGGACTTAGGACCAAAATAATAATATACATATTGCAATATCTTCAACATAATTGAAACAAATGTTATCATAAAAACACAAGAACAAGATAAATTATAGCTAAAACTACATAATTTAAGTGCTAAAATGTTGTAGG